GTTTTCAGCAAAGGCCGCCTTAGGAGTACCATAATTAAATTAATAACCCTACCTATATAGTTTAAGTTTAAAAAATTTGGCTCTCCAAAGAAATGTCAGTCATAGTACTGTTGATATTTGGGTCTGTTGACTAATGAGATTGGATTCATACCCTGTTCTTCACTACCAAGAGGAATCTCAGATTGCCTGACAAGTTTCTCCCCCCCAACATTTAGCATTTTTTATATTACCTCTCCCCTCATGGGCCACCATTTGGCTGCCAACGGCCAGTTCCGGAGGGAGGCCCCCCTCTTTTTATGGTTGTATTCAGCTCAAGGGAGGTGCTACACCGGACGCCATTTGGTGGCTGAAAGACTGGCAGTCAATTTTATTGGGGCCAATTTACAGGCAAGATACTTTTGGAGAGACTCTTTGTTACAGAGGGACTGCTGCTCAGTAGTGTAGCCTCTGCCTGGCCTTTATTGGGCTTGGGCTCCAGTGATTAGATGCTGAACTGCAGCCTGTTTATAACCCCTCCGGGGTTATTCTAGGCTAGGCCAGATTAACCCCGGGGTTACTCTGGCCGGGGGGTTAATCTGGCCTGTGACACCGGGGATGAGGAGGGGGATCCAATTAACGCCGCTATCTTGACAAGGCTAGAAGCCCTTGAGAAACAGAGAGTTAGGCCACAACAGGGGACTCCCACTCCATCTCAGGCCAAGAAGGGGGGGTAATCTGGCCTGTTACACCGGGGATGAGGAGGGGGATCCAATTAACGCCGCTATCTTGACAAGGCTAGAAGCCCTTGAGAAACAGAGAGTTAGGCCACAACAGGGGACTCCCACTCCATCTCAGGCCAAGAAGGCTAAACAGTCTGATATTTCTTCTTTTCAAGCACAGATCTTGGCGCTCCTTGAGGACAGTCAATCGTCCAGTTCGGGGACAGCTGATGCGGATACCGGGGCTGTGCCAGAAGGCGAAGGAAGTCAACAGTTGGAGCTGTACACGGGCCCCAAGCGTCCTTCGGGGCAGGAGGGTAAGGCTAGCGATGGCACTCAGAGGGACACATCATGGCCATGGGGTCTGGGCAATCAGGACACATCGGGGACATCTGCTTCAGGCAAGGTTGCCCCAGCTGGGAGTGGGGCTTCTCCATCACCCATAGCCTGGCACTTTGTGCTGCCTGCGGCGGAAGGCGGAGCTTCACAATATGCGGGGCACGGGGGATGGTACCCACCTCATATGAGCGGCTATTCTTACAATCAAGTTCAGGCCAAGGCTTTGCCGGAGGGTGATATCGCCTTGCCTTTGGGAAATCAACTTTCCTTGGCTACTAGGGAGAGGATTCTTAAGGATAATTATGTTGATGTGTTCACTCTATTATTTTGTGAAATGGATAAAAGAGAGAAAGAGGACCTAGATGATAGGGGAAAAGAGCGCATTAAGAAACGGAGGGTCGATAGGACCTGGGCCAATTGGCTCCTGGGCTTCCTTATATATGCAGGTGTGATTGTTTGCCATCAGCCTTGGAGGGCATCTGCACTTTTGCAATACTTAGATATTGTTTACAAAGCCTTTACGGGTTTTACAGGGCAGGCGTGGATGGAATATGATGAGGGGTTTCGCGCAAGGGCGGCGATGAATCCTGCCTTGTGCTGGGACCTGATTCATCCCCATGTGTGGCTGCAAGTGGTGTCCACACCTAAAGCAACAGCTGCTGAACAATTGGACAGTGGTCACGTGGTACACCATTTGCAAAGCCAGTACCCCACCCGAGCGCAGGTTGCGACCACGACTCAGAGGCGCCCGCTGTGTTGGGAGTTTACCTCCCAGGGGACTTGTGGTAGGAAGTCCTGTTCCTTTCGGCATGAGTGCCCCCTGTGCGCGGGGCCTCATTCACTTTCCAGTTGCCCCAAACCGAAAGGGCATTTTGGAACGAGGGGGGCAAGCAGCCAGGTGGGACAGGAGGCCATGGGGCTGCTACTGACAAAGGGGCCTAGCCCAATTGAAGTGAAGGTGTTGAGAGATTTGTTGCGGGGTTACCCGAACAAACAAGACAGTAGGTATTTATTGGAAGGATTTTCATTTGGGTTTAGGATACCTTTTCAAGGCAAATGGAGCCCCCTAAGAGCTCCCAAAGTAAAGTCAGTAAAAGGGATGGAAAGTGTAGTCCGAAATAAAATAGGGAAGGAATGTAAGGCAGGGAGAGTGCTGGGGCCTTTCCATCCCCCCCCCCCCCGGTGCCTAATTTACGGGTGTCTCCTTTGGGCATTGTACCGCCTCATTCGTTAGTACCGCCTCATTCATCATTTATTGTACCCTCGGGGTGGTTCAGTGACTGACGCTATACCACATGAGCTCTGTTCAGTGAAATATACGTCCTTTGACCAGGCCATGAAGGTAGTGCAAGCTTGTGACCGGGGCGCAGTATTAGCAAAGTGCGACATTAAGTCAGCTTTCAGGCTACTACCAGTTCACCCTGCAGATTTTGATCTACTAGGTTTTGCTTTTGAAGGATATTACTATATGGATAGGGCCCTTCGTATGGGCTGTTCTGTCTCTTGTGCTGCATTCGAGAGGTTTAGTTCCTTTTTGGAATGGGCCTTGCATTCGCAAACAGGGTTGTGCTCTACGGCTCACTATTTGGACAATTTTTTTTTCATGGGAAGACGTGGCAGTGTGAATTTTTGCTGTCCAGTTTCATGGAACTGGCGGCAGAGCTGGGAGTTCCCCTCACTGAGGAAAAGACTGAAGGCCCGACACCCATCTTGACTTATTTAGGCATTGAAATAGACACAGTGCAACAGTGCTCTAGGCTCCCGCTGGACAAGGTTCAATGCCTTCTGGTCATGGTTGAGAACTCTCTAGCGCTTAAGAAAATATCCCTTTACGAGCTGCAGCAGCTGGTGGGCCATCTCAACTTTGCATGCAAAGTGGTGGAATCGGGCCGGGCGTTTGCCAGGCAGCTCTGTGATGCTATGCGGGGTCTGCGCCTCCCGCATCACAGGACCCGGGTTACAAGTGGGATGCGACAGGATCTCCTGCTTTGGAGGGAGTTTTTAGGCTCATTCAACGGGGTCTCATTTTGGAGGGAAGATTTGAGGTTGGAGGCCGAGATGCAGGTAAACTCAGATGCAGCAGGCTCCTCAGGTTTTGGGGTGTACTTCAGAGGGCATTGGTGTGCGGAGGACTGGCCGCAGGATTGGTTCCAGGAAGGCTGGGTCAAGGACCTAA